ATGTCTGGGCACGTGAGGGGATGCCACGCCACCTGAGCCTAGGGAATCGCCACACCGCAACTGTTATTGAGCGAGAAAGGCAATGGCGGCTATGCTTTCAATCCATAAAATACAGTTTGTTATGCACATATTATTGTACCATACCAGGGATATTGATGACGTGAATAGAGTAATTTCCATGAATTTCAAGTTGTCCATCACATTTCCAATGCAATGCCAGTAGTATTGACCATGGAAACTGTTAGGGGGAGGGCACGGAAGGGGCTTCAATGGGTTCGTGTGACCCCAATTGGACAGACAGCTTCGATTACTCACCACATTTTTTTACAATTACCCAGCAATCTCAATCTCACAGACCGATTACAATAAACTTACAAGTTAAAACCATCAGGCTATGCAGATTTTATCATAAGCAGGAGGGGTACGCGTCTGTGGCCGGTGGACAGAGCCACAGAATCGACACGCGCCCACGTGCACCGTGGTGTGGTTCTCACGTTCGCATTTGCAGTTCGCGAACGCGTTCGGCGGTGTGACCTCCCAGTGGGGTCGACTTTCTGTCCCCACCCATAATGTAAGGTTAAGGCTATCACAGGAAAGAGACACGTCCACTCTATATATATTTGCCTGATGACCTACGTAACAAGAACAAGATCGATGCGAGAAAGGTGAAAGCAGCCTTTTCTTTTTTAGAGAACCAAGGGCATGAAACGGACAGGCAACAAATGCGCTCGAGCCTGAGGAAGAAAGAGCGAACGACGAGACGCCGTTCTTTACCAGAATCGCTGACGAGGCTATCCCCTGGCTGACTGCCAATTATACCGTCAACGTCGGCTGCATCCTGTAGTCAGCGACGTGCCTCTTCTCCAGAAGCAGCAGCATGTCAGTACTCGTAAGGTAAGCCTTTTCTCTCCCTCCTGAATCCAAGGCAAATTATGGTGGTTCTGGCCACGCACTAGCTCAGGTGATAACCGACGACCGTCGGCAGCACGGTTCAGTCCGAAAACTTTGTAGTTCTCACCACAGGCGAACCAGGACATTCAGTGTACTGTGTGACTGTAAGTACTGCACGACGTAGTCGTGGCAAACGCCCTGAACCGACTTCGCATTGCTGGAACTTTGATGAGCTGAAGAGCATCTCGAGGGACGTTTGTCCCGACGAAGGGACAAGATGAATACAAGTGGTATCTCGACCAAAGCCCGACCGTTGGGGGCTGCGGCCTGCTCACCCCAAAGTATTTCTTTCCAGCCACTTCTTTATGTACTGCATTTTCGGACTCCCCTTTGTATCCACTCATGAGGCACAGCCTAGTAATCCAGCACATACACCTCCCCATTGAACAACCCCACCGCCAGCCTGCCGCGGGCCTCGTCAAACGCGAGCGCCCGCACCGAATTCGGCCGGAACGGCAGATTCGGGTACGCGCTCAGCAGCGTGTGCACCTCCGCGCCACCCCCAAGCCCGCCGTTCGCGATGCGGACGACCCTTACTTCCTCCGTCTCGACGTTCCGCTGGACCCACACGCCGCGGCGCCCCGCGGGCCCGAGGCGCGGGTGCTCGATCGTCAGCGTGCCCCCGCTCAGAGACATGGGAAGGTGGATGGTGGTCGGGAACACCGCGAAGCGGCGCGCGGGGACAGAGGGGGGCGAGTAGGCAGCGGTGGGCAGCGGGACGGTGGCGAGGTAGACGCGGGCCATGGTGCCCTCGACGAACCGGACGGTCATGAATGTCAGCGATGGAGAAGGTGGCGCACCGGGCCCGGGGCTGTCAGAGGGGACAAAGTCGACGGCGTTTGGAAGCTTGGAGATGACCGCGTCGAGGATAGGAGGGCCGAGGTCGATCGGGGAGGGCTCTTCGTCCCTCCTCGCTCCGGACGGTTGTGGGGACGAGCAGGGAGGGAAACGGGTAGGAGAGGTAGACGGGGATCGTGAGGTCGAACGACGAGGGGACGCCGGCAGGAACTCGGGTGGCAACGCATGGGCGCGTGTTACGAGGGTGTCCTCCAGCGCGCCGGTTATGACGATCTCGGTCGGGTACAGTGTGATGTGCATTCTCAAGTGGGTCTGCGGCAAATATAAGTCTTAGGGTCACGCCTTCGCGGAATTTACTCGATACCGACCTCTTTATATAGCACATCGACCAAGCGCTTCACGCCAGTGCGGATGTTCAGCAGAAGAATCTGATGAGCGACCCCAGGCATGTCGAAGAGATTTACAAGCGTAGCTGCGACCACCTCGCCGCACATCACGACTTCGTAGAATATCCCTGCTGATAATACAGGCCGGGTTATGTGATGTTTCAATGCGACTTTCTCGGTGGAGCTCATCGGAGTAATGGTCTGAGAGACCAGAGATTGGGCGTGGAAAGTGTCCGGATCCGCGATGGAGGATAGACGAACGGAATACACTTGGAGGAGTCTGGGAGCAAATGAATATAATGCAGGGCTGCATGGTGTGTGAACACGTACTCTTCACCCTTAACAGTCACTGTCAGGGCTAACAGGGCAGAGTGCTCGCCATGCTCGTCCTCCTGAATCCCAACAGACATGTGTCTGTAATAACCAGGAGCTTCAAGCGCTGCTGCCCTGAAGGGTTCGTGCCCCACATTCCAGAAGGTGAAGGTCGTGCTCTGCCTGCCCATTGGCCGATTACGCTGGGCGGTGACTAGCCAGTGCGCGCCAGGCAGCCAACAGATTTCAGAGATGGATACATTATCAGGCCCAGACGTGACAGACACGAAACGTCTTATGGTAGGCTCCGGTCTACGCCAGTTTAGGTCCAGCCGGAGAGCAGTTGTGCAGAGTGGCTGGAGGTCTGTGGCTGGGAGCGCCTGGACTGATGTATTGGCTGGGAGGGGAAGGGGTACAGTGCGAGCAAGGTCTGAGGCGAGCTGGTGCCACAGGTAGTCGGTCAATGCGAGGGTGTAAATCGCCCGGCACGTCTGGGGCGCAGTTAGTGGTCGACAAGTCTGGGAACGAGCGAGCTTGCCTGTTTGAGTGCGAGGACGTCTGGGATGGACAGCCGTATGAATATGTCGAGGAGGATGTCGTCTGGCAACTGAATGAATGAGGGCATGGAGGGCTGGGGCGTCGCACGAGCAGTCGCTGAGACATGGCCAGCAGTTATGGCGACGACAGACGAGGTCGGACTTAATCGGGGTGATCGACTTCCGGCTGATAAGATTAGATCCCAGCTTCTCCCGATCATGATTACATGTCGTAACCGAAGCCAACCCCAGCGAATGCCACACTTGGCAAGCCCCGTCCGTCTATCCCATGGGACGAACAAAACAGTCCTGTAGACTCGTACCCAACGGTAAGAGCAAGGAAAAGCTCGGAACCAAAGTAGAGCAGCTCGTGAAGGTACGCAACGTAACCAGCAAAATACGGATCGTTACGGACAGAAATCGTCATTTGAGAAAGCCATGATCCTTGCCCAGACATTCCCTCCCGGGTCGCCTCACAACTGACCCGCCATTTATATAGAGAAATCGGATTTATACAGCGACTGTACCTCCGCCGCGTCCCTCCATTGATGCTACGCGTCTCGGCGATCCCAGAGTTCTGTGCGGCGATTTACGAAGATCCTATCTTCCCTTCAAGTGTCTATGTCCAACTAACCGAAGGACTGGGGATGAGTAGAGGCGCGCGCCTGCGACAGAAGTGCCCCGGAAAGTACGAGCCAGCTTAGTTCAGATCGGACACACCTTGGTACTCAGCATGCGCTGTCGACTGGGTTAGACGTAACCTTGCTTTCATTACAATGTCTCACCAGAAGGGGATACGTCGCGATAATACGAAGATTGCATACGACCAGCAAAGCTGTTCTGTCATGTTTACCTCAATCATCCGCTCCACATACCATGGTCGCCTGTCCTCCGTCCCAGTGTTGTCCCCAGCGGACTCATAGGTCACTTGCAGCTTTGTGCATCGCACAGTTCAACGTTCATGGTTTGAACCGGGTGGCAACTGAGTACCGATTCCCAGCGCATCTCGGGCGCGTCAGTCATGAGAGTGAGGCAGCTCTGGCTGGCCATCCGTGGCGAATAACCCGAGCCAAGGCATAAACTACCAGAGCGAGGTGGTACCGATCGTCGACATAAGTAACTGCCAGAGAGCCCAACTCGATAACTTGAATGCACCAGAGCAAAGCATCTGGAAGGGTTGCCCAATGCGGTATGTCAGTGAAGTGCACGTGGGTGTGGCTGCACACGATCTGATTTCAGCCAGATTTGACTCCCTTTGACTGAGATCTCCTACAAAAGCACGGCTCAGGCGCATATTTCTAAGGGCCATAAAGGTCGTTGCTCAACGTTCGTCTCAAGTAATATCCACCAGAACAACAGCCGAATACTGTGGCGTTCCCGTAAAATCTCTGTCTTGCGCAGCCGTTCTGTCCTCCAATGGACCAAGAAGTAAACCAATTAGTCCAGGCGATCCTCATTGCTTCCGACCCGACACAAGGAACTTTGCATCAGCAAGCGTTAGAATATCTCTCTAATGTTCAGCAAAACGCGGCCAGTAGCTGGCGGTTAGCTCTCGCCCTGTTTGTCGATACAACTCCCGATGGCGCGCGGAAGCATCCACCTCAAGCGCGATTCTTTGGGCTGCAGGTCCTAGATAATTTCTTGGATAATCGGTGCGTGGATTCATTGCATTGAATTTACAAGCCTGACCCTAGACTGGCCCGTTTGCACGTTCATTATCACTTATCCTACGCGCATACATTTGTGGCACATGCCTTCACCAGCTATGAGCCCTTAGACGAAGACTCGTTCACGACCTTACAGCAAGCACTTGTGGGATACATACAATCCGAGTATGTGTACGGCCCAGCAGAGTCGAGCGCGCCTTGTAAGCACATTCACCATCGCCGACGAGCCCGCCACTGACCCGTCCTCAGTCCTCCGCAACAAGTTCTCCCATACTCTCACTCTTTTCTTCCTATGCACTTACGTCGAGCAATGGCCCTCGTTCCTCACGGACCTCTTCTCCCTTATCCGTCCCTCGGAATCATCCTCCCAATCCACCTTCAACCCCCACGTCTCCCTGCTCTTCTTCCACATCGTGCTCGAGATATCGGGTGAGGTCGCGGACGCGATCCTGAAGTCTGCGAGGACTTGGAATGCAGCAAGGCAAGCCCGGGATGGGCGTGTGCGTGATGCAGTTCGAGATCGGGACGCGGCGCGTATCAATGAAGCCGTGCTGACTATTGTAGCGAACAGCGCGGACAGGATGAGCAAGCTGCGCAAGGGCGAGCTGGACGTGCCCACGCCTGAAAAGGAGCTGTCTACCGCGGAGGAGGTAGTGGATTGGGGAGTGAGGACGTTCGCGTCCTACGTCGGTCAGTCTCCCCGGCCCGTCCGACGTGGATGCCGTTTCTGAAATTCTTGCCAGGGTGGATTGATATCAACCTGACGGTGACACCCACGACAATTCCCCTCCTGTTCACCCTGCTGTCTGATCCTTCTCTGCCGATTCGGCTGGCCACTTGCGGAGCCCTGACACGCATCGTCGCCAAAGGCCTGAAAGAGCCCGCTGACAAATTGCAGCTCATCAAGGTCCTCTCACTAGGAGAGGTGCTCGATGCATTAGAGAGCCGGACGAGATCAGAACAAGAGGCTCGCGGGGAAGATACGGACGAAGCCGAAGAATCTTACCGCGAGGCTCTAGGTAAACTGCTAAATGTCCTGGGCCTTGAGCTGATGAAGCTCATTGATGTGGGTGTCGTCTTGCAGTGGAAATTCGGTACGCTAATGGCCCATCTAGGATTGCCTTAACGAGGAGATTCGTTCGGAAGCGTCGAGATTACTCGAACAGTGCCTCCCTGTGATGCTTCGTTTCATGTCTGACGAATATGATGACACGTCGTCCACTATCTTCCCGATGCTGTCGACAATCCTCAGCAGCGTAAGTGCTGCCCGCAAACCTCGTCTGCACTCGCGCTAATCTTCACCCACATCTCAGTACAAAAAAGCCAAGAAAGTCTCCACAGATCCTATCGACGACTCAAAACGCTCCTTCCTCACCTCCCTCCTGCGCGTGATACTCGAGAAATTCAAATGGGAGGAAGACGCAGACCCGGATGACATGGACGAGGACGACAAGGCCGCGTTCGAGACCCTGCGCAAAGTAGGCACATAGCCCCCTCTCACCTTGCCGTCTTTTAAAGCCTGACCAAAGCTCCCACCCTGCAGGATCTGCGTACGTTCCTAGATGCCGTGCTGGTGATCGACCAGGATCTGGTTACGGATGCTGTGCGGACTCTGTCCATCAACACGCTCACGGCGTACAGGAATGGCGCGGCCATTAAATGGACGGATGCTGAACTGTCGCTCTATCTGATATTTATCTACGGTGAAATCAACAAAAGTGCGCAACCCCTTCTCGCGCTTTTCGGCGGCTGATCTGGTTGTGTTCTTTTTCCAGGTGGGGGTAAGGGAAGGGCTGCGTTTTGCCAGGCTCCCCCTATTCCAAGAGGCGAAGACCGCCGGAAGTTCGACTATTCGGAATACCCCTTGACTAGCCACGGCGAAATGTTGTACACTATGGCGCACTCAGGCATTTCCGCGTACCCACACCGCGCAGTCGCCATGCAGTTCTTCGAGACTGCTGCAAGATATGGTGATTTCTTCAAGGTCCGGAAGGATTGTATCCTGCCCGTTCTGGAAGCTATGGTCGATACACGGTGAGTGCACTATCCAGCTGAAGAATCGCAAACACTGACCGTCATCTTTTTATGTCACAGCGGTCTACACAGCCCTCATTCTTCCGTCCGCTCCAGAGTATTTTATCTGTTCCACCGCTTCGTGAAAGAAGATCGCAACGAGATAACGTCCGAAGTTGCCTTGAAGCTGATTGACAGTATCCGGGACCTCCTCCCTGTCCAGGTCGAGCTGCCACAGCTCGAAGACGAGACACAAGATATGCTCACAGAAGCCGTGAACAACCCGGGGATCTTCGATTCTCAGCTGTATCTCTTCGAGGCTGCCGGAACACTGGTATCCTTGATCTCGAAGGCGCCGGAACAGCAGGCCGCGCTGCTCTTGTCCATCGTGAAACCTCAGCTGGACCAGCTTGCCACCAGCTTGCAGGCGGTCAAGGGCCCCCAGGATCATATCCCTATCTTGGAGGTGCATCACATCATCATGGCGTTGGGGAACATCGCGAAGGGCTTCCCGGATTACCCATCGGAAATACCGGAGGGGTATACTCCGCCACCTCTGGATGTGTTCCGGGAGGTCGCTCAAGCCATCCTGACATCTCTGAACGCCATGAATGTGTTCAAGGTAGTTCGGGATGCGGTGAGTACCAGACTCGGTCATGATTGTGTTCTCTGCTGACATATCTACCAGACGCGCTTCGCCTTTGCCAGGATTATCGCGACGACGGGACCGAATGTGACGAGCTTCATCCCGCCGTTGATGGCTAGCCTCCTCACACATTTCGAACTCGTGGAGCTCGTGGATTTCATGAACTTCATAGGGCTACTTGTACACAAACTTCAGGTACGTCGCTAGCACGTGGTGTCACCTCGGCATGCGCTGATATCGCCACAGTTGGATATCTTTGATGTGCTGGACCAGCTCATAGGACCGCTGAGCGAACGTATCACTGAGGTTCTCTCGCAACCGGTCACGGGCACGGATGATCAGCTCGCTCATACGGACACGAAGAGAGCCTACCTCGGTTTACTGAATACTATCGTGTCCTCGAGTGTACACGGCATATTCATATCGGAAAGTGAGTGTGGCATCGTTTAATGCATACCCAGCAAGTTTGTGACGCGGGTACAGGGAACAAGGGCCGGTTCGAAAATCTTCTCGAAAGTATGGAGCAGCTTGCCACCGATTTGTCTGATCCAGGCAGCGCGAAGGCAGCATTCACGTTCTTGGGCCGCTGCGTTAGTGTTTGGGGCCGACGTCCTGAAGAAATCGCTGCCAATGGTAATGGCAACGCACTAGCCGGAGCCCAGAGCCTACCAGGATTCGAACGGTTTATATATGAACAGCTGGTGCCACTGGCTTTCAAAGTCTTGTCGTTACCCAACTTCAACATCAAGGACGGCCAGATGCTCATGGTAAGCCCGGCGTCAGATATTTCAGTTTGGCGTATGCTTACTTGTCCATTAGGTACTCCACGAGATCGCCAACTTCCTCCAGACTGTCTGCAAGACGAGGGGCCAGGAAGCCTATGACTTCTTCGTGAACGTGTTCCTCCCGGCTCAGAACTGGCCTCAAGATATGTCGGTCGACTTTGCTACTAAACTCAGGGACTTTGATGGCAAGGGCTTTAGGAAATACTTTGTAGATCTAGTCCGAGCCTCACGAGCCGGCTCATAGCATCGTATGCTTTTAAAATTCTCGTGTCTGCTGTGTCGGCTGCTCTTCATTTATCTGCACATCTGTTAGCTCTACAAGTTCGTTGCATCAGTGTTCACATTCAACAAGTCTCCCTGCATATCATCTGTAGCTTTGCATTTCTGGTCGAGTAGTACAAGTCGTTCCCCTGCACAAGAAGTATTTGAGCAGATCAAATATGATGAGTGTCGGACTCAGTTGCCACAACAGCCTATCGAAGCAGTGCAGTGCACAGCGCGTCATGCTCATGCTTCCCTGAGTGGCGGCGTGTTCTCCTTGCCTCAAGCTCGCTCGTAACCGGAAAGTACTCGCATTATCGTCTCGGTTCAGCGAGGATGGCTGCAGGTACGTATACAGAAACTCGGGTATTGGCCGTCCCTCATCGTGAGAGCAGTCCCTCGGCGTGGCAAGCCCAAGATAGTGAGTATTGCATGCATTGCTGCTGCCAATCGCTCATTGCAGTCAATGTGCAGCGCCCTCCTAAGAAGGTGATTATATCAACACTCCACCTGGCTTGAGGAGTCTGAATTCATGATGCCAGCATGGTCCGGACGTATCGATCGACGAGACATGGTCCAAGCTCTCCGCGAATATCCGGGAAATCCACAATCACAATGCCTCTAATCTTTCTTTCGAAGAGAACTATCGTTTTGCGTACAACATGGTTCTCCACAAGAACGGGGACATGCTGTACAAGGGGACGAAGCAGCTCGTGGGCGAGAACCTGGATCGTCTCGCGCGAGAGCAGGTCATCCCTGCGTTCCCGACTGGGAGAAGCGACGATCCCATGCACAGGAGTCAGGAGGGCGAACGATTACTGAAGGCACTGCGGAGTGTATGGGATGATCACATCTCAAGTATGTCCAAACTGAGTGATGTGCTGAAATACATGGTATCCTAATCACCCGACATATAATCACTCATTCCGTCCATTGACCATGCTTTGTCCCTCCCCAGGACCGTGTATACACCGACTCTGCCCAAGTGCCAAAAATCTATGAAGCCGGCCTGGATTTGTTCCTGAAGCATATAATCCGCCCACCCATATCCGATCACCTCATTGCTACCATCCTCGACCTCATACACATCGAGCGCGACGGGTATGTGATTAACCGTTCAGCTGTTAAGGGCTGCGTGGACGTTTTGCAACAGTTGAGCCCCGAAAAGGATGGCCCGTCCGTGTACAAGCAAGATCTTGAGCCTGCCGTTCTACGCGAGAGCGAGATTTATTACAGAGAGGAGGGTGTTAAGCTGGTTGACACCTGCGATGCACCGGAATATCTGCGCAGAGTAAGGGAGGTTTCTCGTCAGTGTCGGCGGATACTTATCGTTCCCAGGTGGAGGCCAGGTTCGAGTCAGAGGAGTCACGGACACATCATTACCTATCCTCTCAAACAGCTCGCCCTCTGCGTCGCATACTGGAGAACCACCTTTTAACGGCCAATCTTCAACCCGTTATCTCCATGCCCAACTCTGGACTAGATGCCATGATTGACCTCAACAAATACGACGACATCGCGCGTCTCTACCGCGTTTTTACCATGGTTCCCCAAGGTCGACCTACATTAAGGAAAGCCCTCAAGGATTCGATCAACCGGCGAGGTCAAGAAGTCAACCTAGGGAGCACAGTGGATATAGATGCTAACCTTGGAGAACCGGACGAAGACCCCGGAGGCAAGGGCAAAGGGAAGGCACGCCCCCAGGCAGGCTCTCAGACTCTTTCGCTGGCTCTCAAATGGGTTCAGGACGTTTTGGACTTGAAAGACCAATTTGATCAGATCTGGAAGCGATCCCTTCAAAGCGACCGTGACTTGGAAAGCGGCATCAATGAGGTACGTAGCATCAATACAATATCGTGCGGCAAGCAGAAGCTCAGTTATTACCAGGCATTCGAGTCTTTCATCAATCGAAATGACAAGGCGCCCGAGTTCATGTCGTTGTTCATCGACGAGAACCTAAAGAAAGGTCTCAAAGGGGTACGCTTCATCTCTGTTTGAGGATGTATAGACAAGTGTGACACTGCTGCCAGAAAACGGACACGGAAGTCGAGGCCGTACTGGACAAGGCTATCACTGTGTTCCGATACCTTACCGAGAAGGACGTCTTTGAGAGATACTACAAGGGTCACCTCGCAAAGCGTCTACTCTTGGGCCGATCAGTTTCGGACGATGCTGAACGGGGTATGCTCGCCAAGTTGAAGGTCGAATGTGGATATCAATTCACCCAGAAGCTGGAGGGTATGTTCCACGATATGAAGATATCGGCTGATACCATGCAAGCGTATCGAGACAAGATGGCTCAAAGCGCGGTACGTCATGTTTTGGTTTCTCTTGACTTAGATCGATTATTCATGACAGCATTCAGCCTCTCCCCGTCGAGATTTCGGTGACAGTCATGACCTCGACGTTCTGGCCCATGTCCCATTTGGATGCATCATGTACTCTGCCGGACGTGCTGCTGAAGGCTTGCAAATCTTTCGAGCAGTTCTATCTTTCGCGGCATTCCGGGCGACGTCTCACATGGCAGCCCTCCTTGGGAAATGCGGATGTACGGGTGTCGTTTAAAGCGAGGAAACATGACTTGAACGTATCAACGTTCGCGCTAGTTATACTATTGCTCTTCGAGGATCTCGGTGATGGCGAATTCCTGACGTATGAAGTATGCGCCCGGTTTTGTATTTCTATTGCGTTTCGGAGTCTAATAATTGTCGTTACAGGAGATCAAATCAGCTACGAACATCCCCGACCAGGAGCTGCAGCGAAATCTCCAGTCCCTTGCCTGTGCCAAGTGGAAGGTCCTGAAGAAGCATCCCCCGGGACGCGATGTGAACCCCGATGACTCCTTTTCCTTCAATGCCGACTTCACCGCGAACTTACAGAAAATAAAGATTAGCACAGTAGCCGCCAAGGTAGAGTCCAATGAGGAGCGCAAGGAGACGCGCGACCGCGTGGAGGAGGAACGCAGGCATCAAACAGAGGTTTGTTCCCGCGGCCCCTTCCACGACCTAATTCGCTCACATATTGCGACAGGCGTGCATCGTTAGGATCATGAAGGACAGGAAACATATGACCCATATAGATCTCGTCAACGAGGTTACGAGACAGTTGGCCAGTCGATTCCAACCGAATCCTCTTAGTATAAAGAAACGTATTGAAGGGCTTATTGAGGTGAGCGGTAGGGGTCTTGACGTTTAAGTACCGTCGCTGAATGTTGTATCTCAGCGCGAGTACTTGGAGAGGTGCGAAGACCGCAAGTCCTACAATTACTTGGTAAGTCACGTCGGATGATTAGGATAACGCTTGCTGACGCCCGTCTAGGCGTGATGCGTACACATCTTCGGTATCACAAGCTGCTCTCAATGTATACTATTACCCAATGGCACAGAATGTACTACTGTATCGATTGTTACCAGGCAAATTCTGTCCCCTGTCATGCACATATATTATATTTCATTTCTCACTTGCTCTCAGATGTGATGCCGTTGAAATTGTTCCACACGTCGATATATGCCCGTCTGCATAACCAGAAGTGTTACTCAAAGAGCTGAATTCTCTGACATAAATACATGAGGTATCTACGGACAGAGGAGACGTTGACGTCTAAGCTCCTACATGCGTGGGGAGCTGTCAGAGAGCCAATTCCTTATGAATATGCGACCTACAAGATGTTGGCCTGGGTTACTTGATTTTCAGGAAACTCGCCTAGCTACGGGCAAGGACCGAAGTCCTCGGGAACTAGAGGAGCTATATGTTGCCACGGATCGGAGGATGGTCTGTCCACCTGAAGCAGAGGGAAGATCAGCGACAGTTTACTACAATATGGAGCGATACCGCTTACCGTCCGAGACCCCAACATGTCAGCCCTGAGGTGCGTCGCTATGAGATGGACCACAGTGCTTGACCTACCACAGCCGGCGGAACTGGTGAGTTCTACGCAACTGCTGATCCAGAGTTTTAGCACCGAGTGGCGGCGATAATATGGTGTACATACCGGTAGTCCAGTGGGAACCCTCGCAATCCTGCAACTGGTAACGCTATTAATCAGTGCTGACTCCGTAGGTGTAGTTGCAGGGGGTACGTACCGGAAAGAGAGAGTTCCAAAGGTCCACGACATCCTGCAACATGCTATATATACTGGTTCGCCTCGTGGAGATTATGGCAGGCTCGGAACCTCCATTCACGTACCCAGAAGCGCACATAGTATGGGAAGCTATCTCCTCCTTACATGCACTATGCACTCGGCACTCGGCATACCACATGGACATGTATGATGTACCCTCAAGCTCATGCTTCCTAGTCGTTCATGTAAACTCAAGGTTTGATTGACTGTGAGTGATGCCGCTCATATCCTCACATACTCAGGCGCGCAACACAGCAATCGCTGGAAAAGCTGGATTCCATGAGGCAGAATACATGAAGCATCTACACACAGAAGACGTTGACATCTAAGCTCTCCTACACTCACGTACAGCAATCAGCTTCCAAGTTCTAGACTTTCGCAGTCCCGCAAAGTGCAACTCACCAGATACTGGGATGGCCTTGGTTATTTGATTTGCTGGGGGGTGCGGAATGCCGCCGAGATGCAACGGTCGTTCGACCGGTACATCTGCATATATTGTCAGTACGACGGTCAACGTCAATCCCCTTAGCTGGATATCGAAGCAGTTGGGAACTCACCTCCATCAGCCGACTGGGCTACGGCGCAGTCGACTGTCCTTGCGCTCAAATCACCCGTGGGAGTTTGAACGCTACTACCAACCAGTCGCTGAGGCGCTTGATCGGTAAAACGGGGTCTAGTCCACCGGTCGAATCAGTAGGAGCGTCTTCCAGTAGAAGGCGGAGGATACAAACCCGATGGACCACCGGGGACCCCCCCTCCAGTCGACTGTCGCAGTGAGTGAGCGAAGGGAGGTGTGAGGGCCCGAAGAAACCCTGAACACCAGTGGACAGACTTTATATACCCACCCACCTCATGTACACGCCCAACCCTTCCTGAGGTTACAGGGATCTCCCGCCCTGAGTCTCACGCAGATGTTTCCCTCAAAGGTCCGCGAGACCTTGAGTCCAGCTCCTTTAAGCCTTTGGGCCGGCAGATCGGTCCATGGCCATCAGGATCTGTCACAGGTGTCGCGTCTGAGCTCGTCTGCAGATTCCCGGTGGGACATCACAGGGACGTTAGCTGGGAGGTCCATCGGAGGTCGGGCGATGACCTCAAGATTATACTATGCCTGGGTAGGATGTCACTGCCTGTATTATCCAGTGAATGCTGTACTACTACTGGTGGCACATTGCCTGCTACATGATACAGAATGTAAATAGCATTTTAGCATTTAATTATGGGAGCCTGTAGGGCAGACGAATGGTGACTGCAGGATAAACAGTGGTTGGAGGGACTTAGCAGATTTCGCGTCTGGCGGCGCGAGACCGAATTTGAGCGGAGCTTAAATCCCGAGCGAGTTAACTCGAAGTTTTCACCGTCGTCTTCCTCTGCCACCACACCGTCTCGCCACAATCAGCGCAGGCTCCTAGAACCATCCGTCTCGCGTCCTCGATCCTCTCTGCTAGGGCGTGTGTGAAGATGTTATCTAATATGGCTTATATAATGTAGTTTATTTATAGTTGTGTTTCCTGAT